GTGACAGTTAACAGTTACCGTTACCATCGTTGTCCGTTACTAGAGGTAACGGTAACTGATATAAAATTAATAAGCATCGTTCCTCGTTACTGGAGGGTAAAGGATTTCTTACTGTATATCAATTACCGTTACCTCTACTAACGAGAAACGATGCTTATTAGTTTTATGTCAATTATCGTTACCGTTAGTAACGGGGAACGATGGTAACGGTAACTGTCACAGCCCTGGCTACCACACAACGACAATAGCCATCAAAACTATCCGTCAACAATGCAAAAACACGTACAATGCTACCGGATCGACAATTTCGGCTATTAACACTTCCTATTGGCACAGAATTAAAGGCAACCAACATATTCATCCAGTCACAACAACTTGTCGAATGGCAAACAATAGTCGATTGCATATATCCGATATGGCGGTACTATCAATTACAATTAACAACATCAACACGGAAACTGATGTATTCATGGAACAGAACAGTTTAATGTCATTTTTAATTGCGGAGTCTTCTAGAACTGTTCCACGAAGTTTCCTCGTTAAAAAAGCCTACGCACAAAACAACTTACCTCGTGTTAAAGATAAACTCCTTGACGTGGTGGTCGGTGGGGTGGACGTTTCTGAAATGTTAAAAGTAACATTTTGACATATATCAGAGTTCTCAATGACAATTCACCGGAAAAGTAAATCCTCGCGTATGATCCATCGGTTTCTTCTCTCTATAGACAGAAAAAATTAGACAATAGAGATGACTTCTAAGTTGAGAGATGATATTGTCCGTACGTATTTCTCACATTTTCAACCTGTCTACTACGCTCTTGAAGTGTCCTCCATCGCTAAATGATTCTCTGACAGCTTATCAGTAAACACAACAGATTGCTGTGTAAATCTTGCTGTCAACAAACTTTTCTGTTTACAATACAAACAATCTTTTCAAGAAAACAACTTTGATAATCCTTCTCGAATGTACACTTTTCACAAACGATGTATAACCTTAAGAGCCGACAAACCGTCAAACGTAAATCCCATATTAGATAGCCTTCAGTGCCCGCTAAATAATAGAGCAACAGCGAGACCATCCTTTTTGTGCCGTTTAGGCAACAGAACGAACTTTCTCAAACCACCAAGAATGAGCATCTCTGAAGCGCGCCACCTCGGAAATCAGTCGAACCGACGTCAGCCGCCACGCTAGATTTCGCACAACGAGAACAAAAAATGTATAAATAATTGTGTAAACTTGTGGGTATATAGCAATGGCATCTATAGAAGACTACTGATCTCTAGGTACAGAATCCGAATCTCTCCACGAGCTCTGTTTCTTTTCTCCAATTTTTTTCATCTCGATTGAAAACTCATTCCATTTCCTTTGTATCTAGCCATTCTTTCCTTTAAACAGCCAGATGGATCATACGCTTAATCGCATGATGTTTCTAATTCGTATCGTTTTTATCAACCATAATTTTTTACTAGATGCATCGGGTATTGTATCGTGTAAAAGGATGGTCTCGCTGTTGCTCTATTATTTAGCGGGCACTGAAGGCTATCTAATATGGGATTTACGTTTGACGGTTTGTCGGCTCTTAAGGTTATACATCGTTTGTGAAAAGTGTACATTCGAGAAGGATTATCAAAGTTGTTTTCTTGAAAAGATACGCTTTAATCTTGGCTTTCGGATGGCGAGAACGGCAGATTTCGAGCTTTTTGCTATCAGAGGCTAATCGTAAAATCACCTTTAGCATTCAGGTTTTTACGAACAGTATGTTATGGTATTTTCGCTTGGTGGGATAGTTAGCTAGGAGATTAAACTCATGACGATATTGGATGTTGAGTGACTGTTGTACTGTGAAATTTATGTGTGAGATTATTTGTTGGCGTCGAATATATGAATATGTGTTGAACTTTTGTGGTAGAAAAGACAGCGAGTCATTCTTTTTTGTTTAAAACAGAAAAGTTTGTTGACAGCAAGATTTACACAGCAATCTGTTGTGTTTACTGATAAGCTGTCAGAGAATCATTTAGCGATGGAGGACACTTCAAGAGCGTAGTAGACAGGTTGAAAATGTGAGAAATACGTACGGACAATATCATCTCTCAACTTAGAAGTCATCTCTATTGTCTGATTTTTTCTGTCTATAGAGAGAAGAAACCGATGGAGAAAGAACTGGATGATTGTTGAGTTCTGAAAGACAAAACGAGTTCCTCGTTAACTAAGAATCCCAAAAACTGAAGAAAATAAAGTGCCGAAAAGCCAAAAGCGGATGAAAAAGTAGGAAAATGAGTTTATCATATTCCAAAGAACAATTTCACGTCCTCTCCGCGGTTCTCTGAAGAGTCTAGATTGTTTCATCGTCTAGGTCTTTTCACTGTACACTGTTAATCCGCTTTATTTTCCAATTTATAAAAAGTCGATTTTGAAAATCATAATCAATTTTACAACGTTCATGAAATCCAAGACGATTTTATAACAAATTAGACAACGTTTATTTATACATTTTCAAAAATAAATTTGATTTTCAAGAAAATAAATTTTCAGAGAAGTTGAAAAATGCTCTATGATTTTTGATTTTATAGAAGACATTTCTTGATTTTCTAAAAGTTAGAAAGTCTAATTGATTTTATATAAAATACAAAAAAATAAAATATATAAAATCAATTAGAGTAGAAAATCGCTGGTAGTTCTTCCACTACAGCTGACCAATTAAAACGAGAAGCATGAGGCTCAGAATACGGTAATGGACAATCAGAAGTTTATCTCTTTTCGATTTCGACCAGTGTATGACAATTTAAATGCATACTTTCGTCTAAGCACCGCCCTACTAGTGTTGACGTCATAACTGTATAGAAGTACTTGCTCTCTTTGCAAAAAAGATAGGGCTCTGGTGATCGCTTGGAGTGTGATTCTTATCTTACTTACTTACATGCGATCATCTTTGTGTGATCTTACCTAGCTGTTTTCTAGTACTGGCTCCTATTAAGTTTATGCTCGATCACTCTCTCTCATCCTACTGCTCTCGTTGTTAGACCTACAGCTCACTGGGTGTTTTCTTTTACGATGTAAGTTAGTACATCTCTGAAATAGAGTAGAAAGGCGCTCGTACAGGAAAGCTTTTCGTTTATTTATTTACTTTTCGTCGCCGGATAGATGTAAACGAACTTTTCTTTCACTATTTCTTTTGGCTTGTAGAAGGAAACACTTTTATTCAAGGGAGAAAAAGCGTGCGCCAATGTCTCCTGGAGATGCCAGGAGAGAACCAGACGCGAGCGAAGCCAAGTGGAACCCAAGTCCAGAAGTTATCGAGAGACTCTTTTTCCGCATTGAAACGAATGCATCTAAGCCAAAAGATTGGGAGTTGTGCTGTATGTCCATAACTGTTTTTACATTTTTAAATGTCTGTGTGTCTCCGTGCACATGGTATATTACGTAGAAGTAAAAAAAACTATCTACTAAGGTTCACACTCGACTGAAATTACAATGTTTAGTCTGTCTAGTTTAATAGAGGGATACTGAAGGAAGAAATGTGTATAAGAACAAAGATATGTTCGACAAAAAAGAATTAGTATTCTATATTACGTACAATAGTGTGCTAAAAAGTAGTAACATCTTTCATATTAAAAAGTTCACATATTCAAGAAAAAACTTGTCCATTACTATTAGAAATCGCAGTAAGTCGCTTGAATATTGAAACTGAACAATGTCGCAAACTATTGATTTTGGTAACCTCTCAGATAATATTTTCCATTACACAAATGAAAATTTGTACGATTTTGTTAAAAAAGCACTTGGACCAGATGAAAACGACGCACGAAAAGTAGTACTATTTATCTCTTACATGTCTACTTTTAGATAAGCGCTATGATCATCACGCAATGCACGATTTGTACGAATACCGTCGACGGCTACGAGGGCTATTTACGTCACATACGGATATGTCATGGAAACGATCGCAACTTCTGTTCAATTTGCCCTGCATGTCAATCAACATTTACGTATACAAACTGGCAATCATTCACGCGTCATGTTCGTAAAACGCATTTAAGTAAACCTGTTTTTGAAAGTTTATCATCCACAAATATATTCGACGATTATCATGTTTCAATTTCGAATGAATTCGAAAACCAAAACGTCGCACAATCATCTTCATCTGCCTTACCACCCGATTCGCTGGAAGAAATTCGAAGATTGTTTATTAAAATGTTACTACAAGTGAGAGAAGGACATATACTTCCTGGTGTTGTAATGAATACTGTCTCATCGTCATGCACCTCGTTATTACATTCCTTCATGGATGGATTACTGCCAGAGTTAGCGATGTCTACGAATGATGAGCGCGCGATTTCTCATTTACAACAAGTTCAGCGTATTTTATGCGACGTATCAAGGAATGAACAAACATTTATAAGCGCATGTGAACATTACTTTGGTTTAGTGAAGCCGATCGAACTCCGTTTGCCAACCGAATCAAAGGCCTATTATGTCCCAATTACAAAAGTTCTGCAGTTATTATTTGGAAAGGACGACTTTCATGAAGCAGTCAAAATGGAAAAAGAAAAAATCGAAGTATTTCGAAGAACGGATATATTGTACCATTATCGATGTGGAGAGCTAGCAAAGCGCCATCCAGTTCTCAGTAATAAGGATAAAAACTGCATATTAATTCAACTGTATGTTGACGATCTCGGTGTGGTTAATCCATTAATGGGAAGAAGCTCGGTACATAAACTGACGGCTGTTTATTTCTCTATCGATGATTTACCACGTCAACACAATTCGTCGTTAAGTGTTGTTCATCTAGTGCTATTATGTTTAACAAAAGATATTGAAGAAGAGAGAAATCGTCATCAATTGTTTTCAAAATTAGCTTCAGATTTGAATATATTAGAAAACGATGGTCTAACGTTGTCAAGTGACTCAACAGTAACGTATTTTACGCTCAGTACCATGTGTGCTGATAATTTAGCTGCTCATCAACTCGGAGGATTTATGGCCAGCTTCAACTCAGGTAAGGATGTTTGAAAAGCATGATTCATTTTAGTCCTCTGAGTCTTCTCCCTCTTAGAAACGTGGAAACCATAAGAAAGAGACGGAAATTGAAAGAAAAAAAGCAACTTTATTCGTTTTAGAGATCTCTTAGAGTTCCTGTACTTTCGAAGAGAGAGAATTTCTGTTTTCCCTGTGCAAATGTTTTTTCTGATTCGGTTGAACAAGGCGAGCGGGAAAGACCGCGGAGTGACTTAATGTCTGTTTATTTCGTTTTTTTGCAAAGTGTCTGACTGGATAAATGATACCGCTTGCATTTCTTTTAAGTCAATTCTTTTCGATCTGCCTTCATTCATCACTGCTTCCCTTCTTTGTTTTAAAACTAGGTTATTGCTGCCGATTTTGTTTAACACACCACAAAGATATGAAGAACGTATATGACGATCGTCGAATGTTAATTCGTACGCGTGAATCACATGATATACAAGTTCAGCATATACGAAAATGTCCACAAGATCATGCAATGTACGGTGTCAAGGGAACATCGGTAATTTCGGTCCTTCCATCGTTTCATCCTATCACATCACTACCACCAGATCTTATGCACGATATTCTAGAAGGCGTTATGCCAAAATTAACCGCAAGTTTGTTGAAAAATATTGTTTCTGTTCGACTACTATCAAATGCTGCATTACGTCAACGAATCAATTCGTTTCAATATGGTATCAATGATAGACGAAATCGTTCACCTCCATTAAAAGAAAAGGATGTTTCAGAAGAGCGAAGTCCAGGTAAGAGAATAAAGAAAGACAAGGTCAAAACTTTCTTATTTCTACTTTAGGAAAGGCAATGGAAAAAATGTGTTTGTTTCTCAATCTCCCGTTAATGTTGTGTACAAAACAAAGTTCTTTTTTATTATTGGGGAATTTTTTGTCAATTTTTTGGAATATTTTTTGTAAGTTCACTGTTCGAATCAACTCGTCAAGAGCTACAATTTGATGTATTATTATGCAATGTTTCAGTCATTTTCACTGACTTTCGATTTCACCCTCACAAAAAACTTGAGGTGCCTAGAAAACCACTTTCCACATGTTTTTTCAAAGAAACGTAAGCGAGATCTTTAGGTTAGTTTTGATACTCTACACGATGGTGCAAGTGAAATTTTCGCGGCTAATAGTGACCGTAATAGTGGGCGGACCTGCGCAGAAGGACCCACAGTATAATGCCTTAAAATGATATATTGATCCGAAGTACTATTCTAACCAGTCTAAACGCACCCAAGAAGCTAACTTGTTCGATTATTAACTAGTCTGAACGATTTACGATTAAGCGGACGCGTTATCACGCACTACAAATTCTTACTCGTTAGAATCACCGAATATGAAACATTTAACGCGGTTCTAACGTGTTAAGCCGGTTACGTAACGCGGTAGGATTATAAAATTTCCGTGATTAATAAGTCTGAAGGTCGTTTCATGTTTTTTTGTATAAAAGCGCGTTTGGGTGCATTAGAAGTAATTTCCAATCCTACACAAGTTTGAAAAATAACGCATTTGCACGTATTCAACAATATTTAGCTGGTGTGCACGCAGTCAATTTTTCTTTGGTTTAACGCGTGTTAGAATATCCCATGAAATATTTTTGATAACCTAACGCAGGTTAGCACGCGTTAAAACAAGTAATAATTTAACGCATGCGCACAGGTTAAATGGTCTGGAATGCGTGCAAACGTGTTATCTTCTGGACTTGTATGAGACCAGAAATGTCTCGAAATTAATCCTAACTCGTTAAAAACACAATTTTATTATAAAAAATTAAAAGTTGGGTTAAAACGAGTTAATCAGGAAAAGTTTAAAATTGTAACGCGACAG